TCCAAAGTTATTGAAGATCCCGTCAAATGTAGAGAATGGCCAAATCCATAATAGCCGCGACGCAACAGTGTGGAACGGATGATGCATGTGATCGCCGGTTGAGCGCACGATGTGGTTGGTTTCATCCGAGGTTTAGCTACCGGTATATCCGTCGACAGAGTTGTCGAGACTGTAGAACATGGGATACATTCCGGGCCGCTCATGGTGGGAGGACTTTTAACCATTGCAAAACTGAAAGTAAGTTTAGAATGACCGATTGAAACGCACCACACATGACAAATTATGTTGTACATACATACTTTTAGATGGTGGCAAATCGAGCAACGATTGTCACGTTTATAGCTCACAGTTGGCATTGGTACCTTGCAATTGACATTGTTTCCCACATTCTTGAGATATCTCAACATAGTCACGCAATAAGTGGAATTATCCGACATGCTTGACCTTGTTGGCAGCCTCTCCCTTCCTCTGTGCCTCCCCTGTCTTGTTACCTGCAGCTGCGACCGTAGCTGTCTATTCCTTCGCTCCGGACTTCTTCTCGTTCTGTTCGGGATGAGCGAATGGACCACTGTCCTAGAACGGGCTCAGACTACAATTCATACAAGTAATAGACTCGACATACATTCATTTCTTGCTCGTGCTCCTTGCGTTTCATCTCGCCACTCACCAACTCTCGTCCGTGTTCTGTGAGGGCGTGATTGTGAGTGAGGTGTCCCTTTAACTCTTCTTCGTATCCTTTGATCTTGTCTCCGAGTGACTACAACCGACATTTGAAGTTAACAAAGGTTGGTATTAGGTCTCTTCACTCACTGGTCCTGTGTGATATGCAGGCCCATATCCAACCTTTCCTGCATGCCTCTGTGGTGGATACGCAGTGGTGTTTGAGCCGGTCGAAGCGCGGCCTGAGTCTGATGGACTATCGGTGGCATTCGTAGAGGGGTTTGCGGAGGACATCATGATCTTATTTTTCTACGATTTCACGATGAGGAGCAGTCTTATATTCTCCTTTAAACGAAAATGACGCTTATGACGACAGATGCTATTTCTGGACACCTCCGTTTTTTCGTCACGGTTTCAATGAAGTTTCAAATATTCAATGGTGCCTTTTCATCGTTGTCTGTAATAATTGTCTACGATCGTATTCGCAAAGGGGTACTCGCTCCTCATGCCCCCGCCGACTACACTTCCCCTGAGGTAGTGGACTATATCTACAGCACCGCGTTGGTCAATCAATTCGGTAGTTCAAATTTCAAGCAGATGGCCAGGAGGCAGTGAGCAGAGACGATGTTGCCTGCTGTTAACCGTTGGAGGGCAGAGCTGGATATGCAGGAAAACTTCAATTCTGAAGACTATGATCATTGCTGGAGTGCGACAGAGTGTGATGAGCACTCAAGGGCCCTATACAATCAGGCACCCACTCAATAATGACGTTGGGTGTGGTGAAGGAAATAACTAGCGGCGGTGTAGCGAAGATGTCTGGACAAGCCTCAAGGAAAAAATATCAATTTCCAAGGGGATGATATAGAGATGCAATGCATTAAGAGAGAATCGAACTCCCGGCGGGTCGAAACAATTTCGACAATGGCAACGACCCAGGTTACCACTACCCCATTAATGCAGTTGCGGTGATTTCATGGCTGTACATCTGGACTCTGGGAGGTCAGAGGCATTTTCGGCATAAGAACTTGATTATGATGGTCACTTAATATTTATTGCTTGAACAATTTATTCGAACTGAAGAGTATATGAAATTAACTAGCACTAGTGATGGCGCAGTCGGCTTGAACCACTAGTTAGAGTCGCGTTCGTTGCGGATTGAGTCAGAACGCGTCGCAGGTAGCGCGTCACGTGGAAACGCACGACCGGCGATCGCCGCGATCGCCCTTGAACCTGATTTGGTGCAGCTGGGTTCATCTCAACAACCTCTCTTCTTGACACGACACGATGGCCGACCAACTAGTAAGCTGCGGATCTCTCCTTCCATGGCACCATTTAATAAATGTCTCCTTATACTCTAGTCTGAAGGTGATACTGTGTCAATACAGCAATGATGTATGATCTAACCCTGTCGCGCAACGTCTATAGAGCAAATTTCTGGTGCGACACCTTATATTTTTAGTTTGGCTAACCATATTTACGCCTACTGTCTACAGAATTTAAAGAGGCCTTCTCCTTGTTCGACAAGGGTGAGGCGCATAATCTTATCGTTTGGTAGGCGCGGGTAGCTGACGCTATCACTCCCTAGACGGCGATGGCACAATCACCACCAAGGAGCTTGGCACCGTCATGCGATCGCTCGGCCAAAACCCCACTGAGGCAGAGCTGCAGGACATGATCAACGAGGTCGACGCAGACGGCAACGGCACCATCGATTTCCCCGAATTCCTCACGATGATGGCGCGCAAGATGCGCGACACTGACAGCGAGGAGGAGATCAAGGAGGCGTTCAAGGTGTTTGACAAGGACGGAAACGGCTACATCAGCTCCGCTGAGCTGCGACATGTCATGACCAATCTTGGTGCGTATAGCGTTATCGCTCGACCCTCCGTGGGCGCTCTTCGAGTTTTTGGGTGCTGATACTTGCGACTCATTCTTTAGGTGAAAAACTCTCCGATACCGAGGTCGATGAGATGATCAGGGAAGCGGATATCGATGGTGATGGGCAAATCAACTACGACGGTCAGTGTCTTAGCGTTTCAAGTGTAAAGATCGTTGCATTGATTGTCGCATCGCATTCTGTTCCCTCTCTTTTCATAGAATTCGTCAAGGTACGCTCATATTGTCCTGACAGCCTGTCGGGAAGGTACTGACGATAGTGGTTTTGCAGATGATGCTGTCCAAGTGATCACCTAAGTGAAGTGATTGATTGATGGTCCTCTCAATCTTCGGAGGTCTGGGTGGCAAATCCCAGAGAGCGCGATATTAGTAGTTCAACGGTAGCTTTATTTATATCATATGTTACTCCTGCGTCCGAATGAATACCAACTACAAGGCTCCTCATCTGTCAGAAAGAAAAACTGTACGTTCAACTAGACGCGACATGCAAGAAAATCATATCATCAATATAAGCGCTGATAAATGCCGACGCCGCACAGCCACATCTCCCCTTGCTCTTTGCAGCAAGGCAGTACCATAGCCACAGCCCATACGCGTCAACGCCATAGGCCTACTGAACCCCCTCCTTACTGTACAGGATCCTACAATACTCTCAATTCGAGAACAAAGCTTTTCATCAAAGGCCCCTGAGTGCTATTCATAGGAAGAACTATATAGGGTTGGCAGAATGGTCTAACAGAACATTCCACATTGTCTGCTCCCCACGACCAACGCATATATCCACCATTTGAAAAATTTATGATGACTGAACAACTTCCACTCGTACGCATTGACTTATTATCCGTACGTTGGGAAAATTGACGTCATATTTTGCAGAGTGCGGGTGCGTTCCTCCAGAACAACTTGCCGATCATCTTTCCTAATAATTGAACACCATACCTGCAGACCAAATCAATGGTGCGCTCATACCTGGGGGTATCTCGATCGCAGCACCTAATTCTCTTTCTATTCTTAGAATTTAAAGAGGCGTTTGCTCTCTTCGACAAAGGTGGGAAACGGCATGACCTAGCACGTCCCTCTCTAATTTTGAGAGGCACAGATGGAGATGGAAGCATCACGCATGAGGAGCTTGGGATCGTCATGCGCAAGCTGGGGCAGACGCCGACAGATGACGAGCTGGACGACATGATCCGTGAGGTCGACGCGGACAATAACGGGACTATCGACTTTGAGGAATTCATGGCTTTTATGGCGAGAGTGTCAGGCATAGACGATAATGACGAGATCGAGGCGGCGTTCAATGTTTTCGATCAGGACAAGAGCGGGTCGATCAGTACTGAGGAGTTAAAGGATGTCATGCAAAGCCTCAGTGTGTTCCATTCATCTTAGACACTTTTTGGCTTTCACCTTGACACTTCCTAGATATCCAGCTGACGACTAACGAGTTGGATCTGATGATGCGTGATGCTGATTTGAATGGGGATGGTGTTATTAGCTTGGAAGGTATATGCACACTACCTGCTCATCCGTCCCTCTTCTGAAGCAAAGCGGCTTCATATCTAGAGTTCAAGCAGGTAACTTCTGTCTAATCCTCCTGTACCGTCAGGCACTGACAACATTTACAGATGATGGGTTTCTCGAGTTACACCTGAACCTGCTGATGAAGAGTATGTGAAAATGTATCCTTGTAATAACGCAACAATTGCATGACTCCTTGCATCGTGCATCGAGGACCCAGCTAAGCGGATACTAGAAATGCAATCTTCGTCGGCTACTCGGCTGACAAAGACAATGACGTCATTACTCCTTGGTCTGCGCGTCATTGACTCACCTGCAATGTAAGACTGCGGAGGACATATAAAATCCACCAGCACTATATTGCGCTTGCCTCCATCACCGAATTCCTTACACGCAAATCCACGCTGAAATTTAGATCCATTCGCACCATCACCATGTCGTCTTCATTTAACAAGTCTACACCTGCGCAATCGAAAGGCCAGCCGACGACGGGACAGACTAACCCAGAGTCAGAGGCGGTGTTCTCTATCCAACCCCATCCTGCCGTACGTTTACTATTCGTCTTCGCAGTAGTAGGATCCGATATTCATGATTAAATATCGCTTCCAGACCACAAACGATCCTCAGGACCTTCAAAGAAAGAGGGAGCCCGGCGGCGGATTGCAGACAAGCGATCCTATGGCCGCACATCATGCGCATGGACCATTCATCCCAACGCAGGACATGCAAAAGAATCTGGAGAAGCCTTTGGTGTGTACCTTTATCAATACAGTCAGGAGAGAGTGCTGATGGAAAACATCTCTGCAGAGCAAGAATGAGCTGCAAGCGCGTGCTGCGGAATTGAACAAATAGGGTCCTGCATGTCCATGATAAAAATATTCAGAGATTGTGTAGAAGTGAGAAAAAAGGAACAGAAGACCATTAAGTGCATTAAGAGAGAATCGAACTCCCGGCGGGTCGAACTAGTCGAAGCATGGCAACGACCCAGGTTACCACTACCCCATTAATGCTGAATTCCGCCCCGGACTGGGAGGATAATGAGTGCCTTAGATTGAACTTGCTCAGGACAACAAAATTTTAATAGAGGACCTCATAGGAGGGCCTCTAAGGAACATATATCTCTGCTTATCAATGTCCAGAGGTACAACGAGCGGTGTTTAAAAATCGCAGCTTCGATCGAAGCTTCGACCAGGACTTTCAACATTAGGCAGAAACTCCTACTTACTAATTCCATGACAGCCAAGCCAGTGCCTCTCAACAAAGGTGTATTTTTGCAAAATCTTGCACATGTAGCTTACAAGGTTTCCTGATAGAAATCAACGCCGACGAATCTCGTTTCTCTTGTGTTTGAAAAACCCCGCTCGGCGGGAAGAGGTAGGCGTATGTGAGGA